CACACACAGTAACACAAACACACACACACACACAAACACACACACACACACACACACAAACACACACACACACAGTAATAAACATACACACACACAAACAGTAGCACAAACACACACACACACACAGTAACACAAACACACACACACAAACAGTAACACACAAACACAGCAACACACACACACACAGCAACACACACACACACACAGTAATAAACACACACGCACACAGTAACACAAACACAGTAACACAAACACACAGCAACACAAACACACACGCACACAGTAACACAAACACACACGCACACACAGTAACACAAACACACACACACACAGTAATAAACACACACGCACAGTAATAAACACACACGCACACACAGTAACACAAACACACACACAGTAACACAAACATGCGCACACACAGTAACACACTCACACAAACACACACACACACTCACACAAACACACACACACACAGCAACACACACATACACAGCAACACACAGTAACACAAACACACACTCACACAAACACACACACACACACAGCAACACACAGTAACACAAACACACACACACACATTAATAAACACACACGCACACAGTAACACAAACACACACACAGTAACACAAACATGCGCACACACAGTAACACACTCACACAAACACACACACAGCAACACACACACACACAGTAACACACACACACACAGTAACACACACACACACACACGCGCACACAAACACACACACACACACAGCAACACACACACACACAGTAACGCAAACACACACGCACACACAGTAACAGCCTGATATGAAGATGAAGCTGGAGACCCTCGTCCTCCTCAGTGGGTCCCACAAAGCGGTGAGGTCCGGGTCTTTAGCTCCGCCGCTCCTGGAGCCGCTGTGTCTGTGCGTAGGCGTAGGTGTCTGGTGAGTCAGTGAGGAGCTTTTAGTGAGATTTACAGCCTCGTGAGTCACAACGAAGCCTCCTCGGCGCCGACCTCCACGCTGTCATCGGCGCCATGTGAAACACAAGGCAGGAGTGAATAAAAAACTGGAAACAGGAGCGAAAGGTGCAGCGTGACATCAGAGGCTGAAAATTCTCTGCATGAAATATTCATACCTCATGTCACACAGGTGTGTTCACAGTTCACACAGCCACGCTGGCAGGTAGGAGGAGGAGCAGGTACTGCGTGAGTCACATGACCCAGTCTGCTACTGCATGAACTTGCTCTGACCCTGAGGGACGCACACACAAAGATGATCTGGTCTCTAAATGCAGGTAAAAGGAGACCCGCTCTCACCTGTCCTGATTATCACACCTGAAGTCAGGTTTACCTGCAGACTGTGACCCCTGACCCCTGCAGTGGGGTAACATCTGGGTGCAGTTTCTATCAGAAGTTAAAGGCGTGCTTTCACCTCTGGAACGTTTCATCTGTGCTTAGTGGCTCTGAAAGCATCACAAAATCTGGCTCTTCCATACAAACAGGTGCTGCACAGGTCTGAGGGTCTTACCTGGACTTCCATCCTCACCTTAGCTGCACCTCAGTGAGGAGGTGTCCTCCCGGGCCTCCCCCTCTGTGTCTCTGCTCAGTGTTTGGTGTAAGTGTTCTTAAATCCAGCAGCTCGTCCTCTTAATCCAGTCCGATAATCTGCCGCTGCGCTCGCTCATTAAAGCTCCATACCGGGCCGTCAGCTGGAGCAGAGGCTGATCTGGGACCAGCCAGTATAATAATAATAATAATAATAATAATAATAATAATAATAATAACCCTGAATATGTTTCTTTGTGGCTGTCGGGTCTCTTTTGTATGGAGGAGGAGTCCTTTTTAGGGTTTTGCTGTGGGTCTGCCTCTGTGCGTGTGCAGGTCTCATTCACTGACCTGAGTGCAGTCAGACCATCAGCGCTGAAACATCTGGAGCTTCATGAAGCCACAAACCAGCTGTTTAACGCTGATGTGTTTCCTGCATTTCAAACACGTTAAAGATGATTTGTGCTTATTAAACTTTAAACAGCAAGCCTGCCTTCAAGAAACCCAATCAGCTCCTATGGTTTTTCACATTAAAAGCTCGTGCTTATTTTTTAGGGTTTGACTATAATTGAAACTCTTATTGTGAAGGACGGTGCCTCTTTTATTTAAACACAATGTGAACTCTTTAAGGAGGTGTTCAATGTGAGACTAAAAACTGTTTTTAAAGGGACGTTTGTACAGAAGTGTGAAAGCTTGAGACGGCATTACGTAAAACTCGAACTGTGTTTTGAGGATAATGAGAAATAATGAATCTTTCACCTTAATCCGCGTGTGCAGGATTATTTCATGACGTTTTGAAATAATCCTGCACACGTGATTTAATATCAGTCTTCAGCAGAAATGGAGCGAAAAATGCTTTTTAGACGGACCTTTGTATGCGCGGCGGCGGCACGTGCACTTTTATCTTTGTCTATTGAAATATTTTTAAAATGTTAAAAAAATATAAGATTTAGTTTTTATTATATGGGGAGTTTAAATAAAAACAAAAATCAAACATTTTCAAAAGTTTATAAAGAAACGGGCCCGGCTTCGGTTCGGTGAAGCCGCAGGTGGAGGCTGAGTGGAGGAATGACTGGAGGAGGGGGGGAGGGGGGGGGAGCAGCGGAGGGCCGGACCTGCACGGGGAGGAGGAGGAGGCTCACATCAGTCCGCAGGTCACCATCACCTCCTCCTCCTCCTCACTAACTCTCGGCTCGGCACGGCACGCTTCCACCTGGAGCAGCGCGCAAACACTCAGACGGGAACAGGACCGGGAGGCCAGGAGACCCGGAGCGGGACCTGCAGGATCCGCGATCCGGCCGCGGGCTCCCGACATGCTGGGCACGGTGAAGATGGAAGGCCACGAAGCTCCGGACTGGAGCGGATACTACAACGAGGAGGTCGGTCACCGCCGCGCCCACGGCGTTAGACCCGGGCCAAGAGCCGGGATAAGAGCCCGGCCGGATTAAAGCGTTTAACGGGAAAACTGCGCGAAAGTTCTCCGGTTAAAGTTCGGGTTCCGGTTTGGTTTTAAAACTGTGTTTTTTTATTTATCTTTTGTTTATCAGAAAATCCAAAGCACGTAAAAATGAACTTTATCAGAGAGAAAGCGAGAGATTTAAAAAATCTGTTTAATCAGCTTTAAATCTTTCTTCAAACACGAGCAGCAAAATCAGAGCGTTTGGTTCCGGATAATATATCTTATATTAACTCTATAATATTTAATATTAAATAAATACATTTAATATAACAGAAAAAAATCTGCGGCGATTTTATTCAAATTAAAATAACAAAGATTAAAAAACAAGTTTCAGAGTTTCAGAGAAAATCAGAACAAAGAAGCTGAGACTCTAAAATCGGGTCTTTTTCAAACTGACTGGCGCAGACACGAATCCGCTCCTTCGCTGCGGGTATTGATCACTGATTATCGGAAATAATAATAATAATAATAATGATAATAATAATAATGATAATAAGAAGAAGAAGAGCCGCTATTACCAGATAAACCCGAGTTAATTTTCCAAGGATTGTAACAGAAACTATTTGTTAATCTCTCTGATGTGAAAACCTTTATTTAATCATTGATTCATTTCATCCGTTTCATTTTTAATTATCTCAGTTCTGTTTCACCGCAGAAAGCCACAATTATATTAAAGAAATATAAACAATAATAATCACAGACAGCAGTAACGTTTTTAATGTTTCAGTGAAATCTAAACAAACTGCGTTTATTTCACCTTCACGACGTGAAAGTTTAAATAAACTCTGCTTTATTTTAACTTTATTTAATCGTTACTCCGTCAAGAAAAACAATCAAAATAAACCAGAACAAAAAAAAAAATCATGAATATTTTAAATTAGATTCTGAATGAGGATGAAAATCTTCCGATAATAAACTGATAATCAATCATTTTATTTAATGGGAAAAACGAAGCTGTGGTTTTATTTTTTATTTTTATTTATTTATTTTAAACCCGTTTAATAAAAAAAATCTGAAAATGAAAATCAAACTGAAGTTGGAACAAAGAGCAGGAGGCCGCTGCTGACCGAGCCTCAGTGAGAAACAATAAAGTTTAATAATCTCAAAATAAACTGCAAATTAAAAACATTTAATTTAATTTAATTTGTTCAGCTAATTAAAACTTTAAAAATGTGAATGTGGAGGAGAAACTCGGACCCTACATACAAGTAAAGTATCATCATTGTTATCAATAATAGGACGCTTTAAGAATGAAAATCAGATCCTGTCACTTCAAACTGTTCATCAAATACACAGAAAAAGTTCTTTAAATTTTTTTTAAACCAGGTTCCCAGGCATGTATCATTAATGGACTGCTCTTTATTTCTTACCGAGCGCTCACACACATACACTTCAGGATTGGAGGAGCTGGGCATCGCGCCGCTGACTTTTCCTTTGGTCGGCGACCCGGTCTTCCTCCTCCTCCGGTCCTGGGCTAAGATCTCTGGACCAGGCTTAACCCTCCTCTGCAGACCTGACTGTCCACATGATTCTGGAATAAAATCTGAGGAGACTTAATCAAGTTTCACATTTTTACAGGCAAACAACCAGCAGGGGGCACTGCAAAAGGACAGTCCAACAGAACAAACTGGGTCTCAGACCTGGTTCTGGTTTCAAACTTTTCTGTACTTAGTCCGATTGGTCAGCGTCTTGGTCCTGGTTCTGACTGGTTCTGGTCTCTCTCTGCAGGTGTACTCCCCAATGGCCAGCGCTGGGATGGGTTCTGGTCTGGGGATGGGCTCCATGTCTGGCTACATGTCGAGCACTGGGACCACGTCAGGTTCCTTCAACATGTCCTATAGCGGCACTGGTCTCAGCCCTGCCCCCGTAGGAGCAATGGCGAGCTCTGCTCCGGCGGCCATGACGGGGCTGGGTGGGGGAGTGGCATCGATGGGCGGGGCCTTGAGCCCATCCGGGATGGGTTCGGTGTCGGCCCAGCAGGCCTCGATGGGCCTAAACCCGTACGGCCCCATGAGCCCCAGCATGAGTCCCGGCATGGCGTATGGCGGAGGCGGACTAAACCGAGCCCGGGACAACAAAGCGTTCAGACGGAGTTACCCACATGCCAAGCCGCCATACTCCTACATCTCCCTCATCACCATGGCGATCCAGCAGGCGCCCAGTAAGATGCTGACGCTAAGCGAAATCTACCAGTGGATCATGGACCTGTTCCCATACTACCGACAGAACCAGCAGCGTTGGCAGAACTCCATCCGCCACTCGCTGTCCTTCAACGACTGCTTCGTGAAGGTGTCGCGCTCGCCGGACAAACCGGGGAAGGGCTCGTACTGGACCCTGCACCCGGACTCCGGGAACATGTTTGAGAACGGCTGCTACCTACGTCGCCAGAAGAGGTTCAAGTGCGAGAAGAAGATGTCGACCAAGTCAGACGGCAGGAAAGAGCAGGTGGGCAGCAGCGGAGGCGGGGCTGCGTCTCCCGCAGGGGATGCTCTCAAAACTCCGGGACTCCTAGACTCCTCGCTGCCCTCCTCCAGCCAGGCTGCTTCGCCCCCCGGGCTGGACCTGCGGGGAGGCGTGGGCGGGCCATCCGACCTGAAGGTGTCCAGTGCCCAGCTCCTTTCCTCGCTGTCACTGCCCCCCCACTCCATGGCTCACGAGTCGCAGCTCCATATCAAAGGAGACCCGCACTACTCCTTCAACCACCCGTTCTCCATCAACAACCTGATGTCGTCCTCGGAGCAGCAGCACAAACTGGACCTGAAGGCCTACGAGGCCCTGCAGTATTCCTCCTACAACACCGGGGTGGGGTCCGGCCTCGGTGGGAGGACCATGGAGCCGCTGGAGGCTTCCTACTACCAAGGGGTCTACCCCAGACCACTCCTCAACACCTCATAGTAGCTGCTGCACCTCCTGCTGGACTCTCTGCATGCAGCTGTCATAGACATCCTGTTGGACTGAGACGGACTTCTGAACTCCTGCACTGTGACCGAACCGGGACGCCAACAGACATGATGAGACTGACCCCAGGTCTGTGAGCTGCTTTTACACACGAGTCACAAATGATCTGAGGTACAAAAACAACAACCGGGTCAGACTTGAACCAGAGTCCAGATTGTGATCCACCTGAAGAACCCTGGAAGGTAAACCGCAGGGTTCTGCTAGGAGGTGGAGCCTGGGAGTCCTGGTTCTGAGTCTGATCCTGCTTTGGTTGAGGACACAGAGAAACCCAGTACTGCAAAACCAGTGTCATCGGACCCGTTCAATACTCAGTTCCCACCGGTGTAACCAGACTCCCTTCAGCAATGTCAGTCTGCATGTAGGCAAAGCCATACCAAACTTCATTCAAGTTTTAAGTAATTTAATGTTAGTTTTCATGTAGGCAAATCCAAGGCAAGCTCTGTATGTAAGCATGAATATCCGCAGTTATTGTGGGTACTGCGGCTAGTTTAACATTAGTCTGCATGTAGCATGAGTTGTGACCAAACTCCATTCAAATATCAGTGAATTTAACACACAGACGTGTGGTTTGAATCAGTGGCTGTTGCAGATAAAGCTGCATTAGCTAACTTATAAAACACCAAACAGTTCTGTAAGTTTAAAGTGTGAAGACCTTTAGGTTTCTCTGATCCAGGTCAGAGACTCGGTTCTTTAAGGACTCGGTCAGAACTCTCTGCTGTCTCTGAGATCCTGGCCAGCAGCACACATTAACATTGACCTTTCACCCTCAAGTGTGACCGAGCATGGCTCTTTCGGCTCAGGCATCTGTGAAACTGTTGGTGTCCCTCAGAGGGCCACGAGCCGCAGGTTGAGCCACAGTGGTTTGGAGTCCTGCTTAGAGCAAGGTCAAAGGTCACACTGCAGATGTTTACAAACACATTGATGATCAGGACTCGTCTTTCTGATCAGGATTTATTTCTCCCACGACCTTGTCTGCTCCTCTGCTGACCTCTGGCAGGGTCGCGCGGCCTAGCCTGAGAACCTGCCGCTCAGATGAAAGGCTTTTCATTTAAAGGATCATTTCACCCCAAAAACAGTCCCGCTCTGCCATTCTCACCACACGTTCCTCGCCGCCGTTTGGGCTGGAGGAAGCACTCAGTCAGGAAAAGTGTTTAGAATATTGAAGTTAAAGTACTCTGACGTAGCTGTTACTAACAGAGAAAATTAAAATATTTGTAGTCATTAAAAGTTTATAAAGATAAATAAATGTCCTGATACAGCAGCTTCTGTTTTAAAAGAAGCATTCATCTTAACAGGGTCACGGAGCAGGAACAGCACGAGGACATGTCTGATTTTCAAATCGAATACAAACAAGTTCATTTGACTTCCTGTGAAGCTGAAACTTCGAGATCGCAGAACCAGATTGAGGGTCACACAACATTGACACAACACTCAGCATTCACACAAAACCCACATGACGTTCACTCAGCATTCACACACAGGTGAGGCTGAAGCTGCTTTCAGGGTTTCAGTACTTTTACTCAAGTAACTTCATTCTGAGTACTTTTACTTGACAAACTTCAGACGTTTATATGCTGCTGCAGTTTGTCACTGGAACTTTTTTTTTTATTGATCTAACAATTTATAGACGTGCAGCTGAGACGATCGATCAGTGATTTGATGATTTATGTTTTTCACTGAAAAATGTTTGCTGCTTTTCTTTTTACGTTTGAGGAACTATTTTAAAAACCAAACAACAGCAGCACTTTAAAACAAGCTCGACAGAAACAAGAAACAAACCCGATGATATATATCAATAATTAGAGAGTATTTTTACTCTGATTACTGTTAGTATTCAGTGTAACTCAAACCGGTTAAGATTTTCAGTTATAAAATCAAACGAGTTCGAGCTGAATGAAAAAGATCGAGACAAAAAAGAATCGTTAATGACAGTAAACAACTTCTCACAGGGTTAAAACACCTGAGTCACGTGACTGACAGAAAAGCACCTGATCCATTTTATCCAATCACAAACTAACCACACAAACCTGAATTACATCATAACTCATCATTATTGTTATTTAAAGGTGTGTTTGGGGTGGAATAACCTTTATTAAATTTGAATTCATTGCCAGTTCATCGTCTGTCACTTAGTTTCAAACTGGAGTTAAACTTTCAAAATTAGTTCATTACAAGAAGCTTCAAAATAGGAGCGTGGAGTGTTGGAGCACTTCCTGCTTCTGAGCATGCTCTGTAGCTCTTTCTTGGCCTGACCTGTGTTTTAGCGCTCCCCCCGACGTGACCCGAGACACGAGGCCGCAGGAAGTCTGCCAGCGGTGCCCTCCATGCCAGACTGTGAGGAGAGCAGTTGTAACATCACAGCCTGGGATGAAGGGCGTGGCGTTCTGTCGCTGAGGTGTGCCGGTCACTTCCTGCTCGCGAGTTTAACCACTTGACGGCACCTGCAGCAGAGCATGACTTCACATGACCTCTGACACATAAACAGGAAGCAGAGAGACTCAATAATCAACAACGGATCGAGCGTTGGGTTCATCCTCCAATCAGTCGATCGATGATCTGATCGATCGGTGACTCTGTGTGTAGAAGCAACATCACTTCCTGTCTGTGTATTTAACCCATCACAATTATTAATTATTGATTATTACCATGTGCATGAATGAAGTGGGAGGTCTTCTTCTTCTCCTTCTGTCGCGTCCTCGTCGTGTGTTTGTCCTTCGTTGGTTTTGATGCATGTTTTAACTTATTCTGTCATTTTCAAATAAAAACATGGAACGCTGCAGGCTGATCGGGTTATTGATTGTTGATCGATTCAGACGTGTTTCATTTATCGACCATTTACGTTACTGATTACAAAACAAACAGACCGATGTTGGAATCAGCTGATAACCGATCAATAAATGTCTGCTGCCCTGTGAAAACCACGTATCTCGCTCAGAGAACTAATTTATTTATCAGGAGAACAAAATTACTGATCACTTATGACTAATCAATCACATGCAGCAGTCAGCTGATAACAGCAGAATAATCAGAACTGATCGATCAAGTATCAGTAAATTCATTTATCTTCGATAAGCTGAGGACAAAAGAACATTTTCAATAAAAACATTGAGAAGAACGATCTGATTTTTACTGGTTTTAATTTTGTCTCTTTGATTTCATTTAATTGAGAAAATTGTTTCCAATAATCGTCAATTTCAGCAAAAACAAAGAGCACGAGTGACTCGAAAACTCGCCCGTCACTCGCTGTGATCCTTCAAGACTCACTGAAAAAGTACAATCAAATAAATAGATACATAAAATAAACGATTAAAATAAAATGTGTATTTGTTTTATTTTATTTTTTTGTTAGTTCTGGTGGACAGAAAGCTCGTATCTCCAGGCTTCTCTGTGACCGCGTTTTTGTTTGTTTGTTTGTTTGTTTGTTTTTAGTGTAAACACCGGAAACAGCTGATTTATTATTTTTTCCGTTTTTATATTTCGTCTCTTTTATTTTGTCCTGTTTTTGTTTCATTTACAGTTTTAATGTTTTTTATTGTTTATTTGTTTGTTGATTTTATCTTCACGTCTTTCTGTCGCCGTGTTTGTGTTTCTTTAATTATTTTTATTTAATTCTCCTTTATTTATTTTTTAATTTTGGTTTTATTCCCGGTTTATTTTCACCGCTTTGTTTTAGTTTCTTTATGTGTTATTATTCTTGTGCCCCCGGTGTTTCGGCTCCGCTCGGCTCATGTCTCGGGGCTCAGGCCGGCCTCGGTCCGCCTCCCGCGGTCTCGCGGTGCGGATTTCGCGGCTGTTTGCGGGCCGTGAACCTGAACACGAGCCGACAGATTTCACTTTGATCTCAAGCTTTTTCCCCTTTTTGCCGCAAAATGTCTCCAGTGATCCCGGAATTACCCGCCAATTATCCGCAGACATGAACCCGCAGCGGAGACGCGCACAGAGCCCGGACAGTCGAGCTGGGCCGAGAGGAGCCGAAGGCCGCTTCGGAAGGCACAAACAAACAAACGACGAAACAATAAACGTAAGAAATTAGAAATGAAAAGTAGGAATAAATAAAAACAAGAAATAAAAACACAGAGAGGAGGACGCACGTCTTTCAAAATAAAACTTCTAAAAATAATGAAAAACATTTATGTTGAAGGTAAAACAAAATTCAAAATGGTGACAGAGAATTTATCTTATTTTTATTCAGTTTTTATTTTTAATCCACAAACAATTCAAAGCAATTAAATGATTTGAGCTTGTTTACAGAGGAGCTCTTTGATTGTTTCTTTGTTTTTGAGCATCAGAAAAGTCTGACTTCTGATATGAAGAACAGCGCTCTGTGTGTGTGTGTGTGTGTGTG